ACTTCTAGGAGTTTAAGTATCTCTTTCTTCACCACTTCCATCATCAGTGGGTTCAATCTCCGTTGCGCCTGCCTCACTGGTTTTGCATCCTCATCAAGCCGGATCCGATGCATGCATAAAGAGGGGCTAATCCCCTTGATATCTGCTACACTCCACCCAATTGCCTCCTTATGATCCCGAAGAAGACGAATTAGGCTATCTTCTTGTCCTGGTGACAGGTGTGCAGATATGATGACTGGCAGTGTTTCATTGTCCCCGAGAAAAGCATACTTCAAATGCTTTGGGAGAGGCTTGAGCTCCAACTCAGGCGCCTGCACAATAGAAGGCAACAATTTTGCCTGAGTTTCTGGTACAAAAACAGAAGTAAGCTCATACCTTGGAGAAATTGGTGGGAGCGAATGCAGTGCTCCAACAGCCCGGTATAACTCATCACTCATTTCTACACCAGGAGTCGCTCCTAACTCAAGATGTTTGGCTAATGCCACTGCCAGTGCATCAACCCCATCCAATTCAAATATTTCCTGTACAAGGGGCTCGACAACACTTAAAGCATAAACAGAGTCAGTCTCCTCTGGGTATTTCATCGCTTCAAAAATATTAAAATTTACAATTTTCCCATCAAACTCCATCGACAAAGTACCCTCATTTACATCTATTTTTGTCCTAGCAGTGCTTAAAAATGGCCTACCTAACAGAATAGGAGACGGATTTCGTGCCCTTTCATCCCCCATGTCTAGGACATAAAAATCTGCAGGAAAAACTAACTCATTGACCTGTATCAAAACATCTTCAACTACCCCTTCTGGGTAAGCATTGGTACGGTCTGCAAGTTGGATTATAATGCCTGTGCCTTTTAACGGGCCAAGATTTAGAGAAGCATAAATTGTATTAGGCATAACATTAATTGACGCCCCCAAATCCAACATTGCTTTCCTAATTGGAGTACCTCCTATCTTGCAGGGAATGGTGAACATACCTGGGTCTCCACATTTTGGTGGGAGTTTTCTCTGGAGTATAGCTGACACGTTTTCTCCCACCGCCACTCGTTCATCTCCCTTTAGCTTCCTCTTGTGGGTGCACAAGTCCTTCAAAAATTTAGCATACTTCGGTATCTGCTTGATTGCATCCAACAGGGGAATGTTGATCTCCACTTTCCGAAACACATCCAAGAGCTCTTTTTCCTTCTCTACCTTCTTTGTCTTTTCCAACCTGCAAGGAAAAGGGGGTAAGTTAGAGCTAATAGTGAGTGGAGAAGTGGAAGTTACCTTAGGATTCTCACGAACACGTCCTTCCTCCTCAATTTCCTTTTCTATCTCCTCCTCACTTTTGCTTTTTGAAGTTTTCACTTTAGGCCCTTCCAGCTCCTTGCCACTTCTCAGCGTCATGGCACTTACATTCTTGGGATTCACCTCGGGCTGCGATGGCAGTTTCCCAAAAACGTGGGACTCCAAACGGTTAATAGCGGTTGCCAGTTGGCTTATCCGAGCTTCTTGGTCCTTCTTGTCCGCTTTGATCTCCTGATGAATCTGAGTAGTAGTTGTGGCCAGGCTTTTGACTAGGTCCTCCAAGGAGCTTCCTGAATTGGAGGATGAGGGTTGAGATTTTGGTTGCCAAGGCCGGTGGAATCCTGGTGGACGGTTCGGGAATGAACCTTGTTGCCTGTTCCCATAACTGAGATTGGGATGGTCTCTCCAACCGGGGTTGTATGTATTGGAATACGGGTCATACTGCCTGCGGGGCGCGGGCACGTCTCCGGCCATATTTACCTGTTCCGCCCCGTCCTCTTGCAGAATGGGGCACGAATCCGTGCAGTGGTCCATGCTAGTACAGATTCCACACACCTTTGCTCGCGGTGTGTCTCTCATGGCCAATTGCCTGACAGCAGACGTCAACTCTGTCAGTTGCTGCTGGATGGATGACGTCTCTGCCTCATTGACTTTACGGGTAGGAGTGCTCTCACGGAAACCGAACTGTTGAGAGTTTTCTGCCATGGCTTCAATAAGGTCCCACGCTTCCCTCGGTGTCTTGTTCGCCAGGGCTCCTCCACTCGCAGCGTCAATAATACTCCTGTCAGTTGATTGGAGTCCCTCATAGAAGTATTGGATCAACAGTTGTTCACTAATCTGATGCTGTGGGCATCTAGCGCACAACTTGTTGAACCTTTCCCAAAAATCGTACAATGACTCCCCGGAGTACTGCTTGATGCTGCAAATCTCTTTCCTCAAACTTGCAGCCCGGGACGCGGGGAAAAATTTCTCCAGAAATTTCTTTTTCAATTGTGCCCACGTGGTGATGCTACCTGCAGGTAGGTAGTATAGCCAATCCTTCGCTGCATCCTTGAGAGAGAAAGGGAAAGCTCTCAGTCTTATTTGCTCCTCTGTGACCCCAGGAGGTTTCATGCTAGAGCAAACTACTTCGAATTCCTTGACATGTTTGTGGGGTTCTTCACCAGAAAGACCATGGAACGAAGGCAGGAGCTGAATCAATCCCGATTTCAGCTCGAAAGAAGTATTTTCAGCCAGGGTTGGGAACGTGATGCACAAGGGCTGATGAGTCAAGTCTGGGGTAGCCAGCTCCCTTAATGTCTGGGTGTTGGCCATGCTCAATTCGTTTTCTACTGGCTCGTTTGCAGAAAATAAATGCCCTTCTTTTTGTCTCTTGGTCTCTTGCCTTCGCCTACGCGCTGCCTTCTCGACCTCAGGATCGTATACCAAGTCACCTGTGCGAGAAGAACGGGGCATAAACTAGCAAAAATACCAAGAAAAAGAAAAAATAAAATAAAACAAAATAAAACTGAATTCAAAAAGAAGCAAATAATTCAAACGCCAGTCCCCGGCAACGGCGCCAAAAATTGACAGGTGCCGAACCTGTGCAATAATAATAAATAAATCCTAACTACCACTTGAAACAGTTAGTAATCAATTCGAGTACTGGAGCAGGGACTCTAGGTGTGCAATGGGTTACTTGATTCACCCTGTTCCCGAAGAGTTTGCTTAATCCGATATACCTGAATTAATTGTTTAACTGAACTCCCTAACTAGTAGACAGTGGTAAGCAGGGTCGTCTCCTCAGGGACTGGAGAGATATTTGTTTCTTTTCAAATCAAGATTAATGGGGGGGGGTTCTGGTATCAAAAGCCAACTGAACAAATTAAATGCAGAAAGTAATTAATTAAAAGAAATAACTGAGAGAAAACTCTAGCCAAGGGTATACTTCAGAAATGGTTCATGCACTGATCATTGATGCAAAAATAATTCCAACACTTATTAATAGATTGGTTATAGTTGTCTCGCACGCGCTAAACAACCAACCCTTCCTTAATTTATCGATAGCTAAGGTACGACCGTTAGCTATTTCTCTAACCCAAAAATAACCCTAGGTACGACCGTAGGATTTAATTTCTAGATTGCATTAGCAATTAGAAAGGCCCAATCCTGACTAACAAACACGCTACGAGGGTTCATTCAAGCCATATCAAATATTCCCCTGACACAAATCCAATTGTGCCAGTTGCTACTGGAATAGAAGTAACGAACAATTACGGATTCAATCACCCCTATATAGCAAAATAGCCTATATGAACAATTAATTATTGCGCACTAATCAATCACACATAAGGCTATAACACTTAGAAACAGGAAATATATAAATATTAATAAATGGAGGAAATAGTTAAAATAAATTCGATCTCACAGTAATTTCTGAACCAAATCGTCAGTGATCCCCTTGACTAGAATTGGAGAATTAGCTCCTCATAATTAGAGTACAGGCCATGCGGCAAAGCTGGAGGAAACCGTCAATTCTTTAATCTAGGCAAACGGAAGACTTGACCTTCGTTCACTTCGGTCAACCGAAGAGAGAAAAGAACGACAATGGATTACGATTGCTTCAATTTCCTTCGGTCAAAGCCAGAGTGAAAAGCAATGACCAAAGTCCACGATTGCGGCTCTCTTTAACTTCTCTCTTCTCTCACGCAAGAAAACACACGAGAGATTGGAAGATTGTAATTGTTTTTCACTTCTCAATTTGGTCAAAGAACAATGAATAGTTCATAGAATCCCCAAAGTCAACAAAAGGTGCTAATGTCTCCTGCTCCCTCTACAAAGCTGCGGCTGTCTAGTCTCCTTCCAGAGCCCAGGAAAAAAAACAAAACAAAGAGAAAAAAAAAGAACTCCCCTAACCTAAACCGCGCGAGAGATAAAAATACTTCCCAATAGCCGGAATTTGTTACTTGTTCAAAATTGCCACCAGACTCCCTCAAAATAAAATAAAATTATATCTATTACAATTAAGTCTCTTCAGCTTCTCAATCGGGCCCCACGTCCGATGAATCTTCTAAAAGTTGAATTTAAGCACTTTTCAGCAACCATTCCTGCAATTAGCACCAAAACAAAATATCAGTAGAATCCACCCAATTAACGAAAATATTTGATCAATTAATTATGCAATAATGTCCAAAATACCCACTAAAATGCAACCTATCAACTGGCTATGCAATTCAATGAGTAATTAATAGCCAATGGAGATTTGAGCCTAAGATCATTGCAAAATAGAAAATTTGAACTCAGATATTATGCAGGGAACAAGAAATCTAACAAGACAATTCAGATAATTTCGTGAAGCTATTGTTCTGTCAATCCTACAAAAACAAACCGTGGAACAGAATATGAACTGAGTTATAGCAATACATCAAAGCACGGAATAGAATAGGTGCTTGGTTTCATGCTAATTGATGGTTACATGGTATTATGTTGTTAGGAGCAATTGAAAAGCACCAATATTTTGGACCTGGTAAGAAATGCTAATGCTGCATCTCTGAAAGCTAATAAATAGGAAGAGAAAAAGGGAGAAGACAAAATTGTGAAGAATAACCATAGGGACATTTTAGTTTTTTCACGAGAAGGTTAATCAGAAAGGGGGGTGACGAGAAGGCAAATCTTAAAATGCCAAAGAAATTGATTATAAGGCAAATTAAGAAAGTAGGTAAGAGGCAATCTTACATGATAGAATTTGATTTGAAGATGAACTGTTAACCAGATTTGAAGATGAACTGTTAACCACTACTGATGTCTAGGTATTGAATATGAGAAACCTTGGACCACTGGGAGTCAGGGCCACTACTCTGAGGAGTGCATCTTTCTTTTAAGAGAGGAGAACAAAAAACCCGCAAATGCTTTAATTTGGTGAGGCGTCTCATGGCATCGTCAGAGGGTAAATGTCGAAGCTTTTTGAAATCAGATAAATCCAGGTACTCAAGAGCTGTAAAGTTTCCGAGCCAATCTGGTAGAGCTTCTATACCTCCAAAGTCATGTAGCGATAGTGATATGAGGGTGGTCAAGTATTGGAGCAGAAATGGCAGCGAATCCATGTGTGGCAACCCATATAATTTTAGTTCACGAAGTGTTGATGATGAATAGGAGGAGGATATCAAACCAGACCAATCAAATTCATTGTAAATTGAAGAATTTTCATGATCATTATCATCTGAGAAGGGACCAATTACAAGGCAGTTTAAGCTGGTTAGGAAACCAAATCCTTTAGGCGTCATACTTGTTTTCAGTTTGGGACACCGGTATAATTCCAGCTCCAAAAGAGAAGGCGTCTGTTGCAAATCAATTGGAAAGGGGATAAGATTCTTGCAACAACTCACACTAAGCCTTTGGAGAGAGGTACAAGAGTGTAATATGTCACCGAACAGATCTGTCAACCCACTGCAATCATAAATCACCAGCTCCTTAAGAGACGTAAAGTTTTGCAAGGGAAGGAGTTCTCTGCATCTAGAGCAGTAATTAAACTCCAAACTCACTAACTTGGGGAGTGTTGTTGGCAAAACCATTATCCATCAAGGAAATTGATCGCCCATAAAGCCTGAAATTGCCAACTCCTCCAAATTTGGGTGATGTCGAAGGCCGTCTAACACATCTTCTTCGCCGTAGTTGTCGCCTTCTCGATCCCGGCCCCACTCAAGTCGTAAGCTGAATAGATTTATCTTTTCAGATAGATTTGCTTCCTCACCTCCTTCTTTACCCTTTACTAGTTGAAGATTGCGTATCACCAATCTGCCTTTGAGGTTTTTCAAGCATCCAAACTCTCCAATTTGTCGACCCTTCTCTTGACCCATGTTAAAGAACTCTAGCGTCTGAAGGCAAGTCAATCGTCCCATATTCAGTGGCATTTGAAATTTTTCATTAGGATTGTAATAGTGGAGATGTCTCAAGTTAATCAAATTGCACATCCCCTTTGGAAATTCTTTTAGATCAATGCATTCACTTAGCCTCAGTGTCTGCAAATTATAAAGTTTACAAACAGATTTTGGCAAACTTTTACCACAGAAACCAAAAAATTCAATATATCTCAAATGTATCAGTTTGTCAATTGTGATTGGTAGCTCCTCATTTTGGGCACAATACAAATTCAAAACATACAAGTTCTTCAATTTCTTTAACATACCACCACCAAATAAGTTAACATACCATTTCCGTAACATGTGATCACCAAACAAGCTATTCCTTATAAACAATGTATGAAGCGAAGTTGATAGACTTTCAAGAAGTTTCATTGTGTGTTCTCCAAATGAGTCTATTGCAAGGTAACGAACTTGAATACTATTGTCTACTAATTGAGTCTCTGAGTTAATGACTTTAGTAGACTTTGACACTGATTCTGCAAGGTCATGCACTAGATCATGCATCTTATAATATGTTCCCCGAACATGGCTTGTTTCTTCAAACAATGAACTTTGCAATAAAATTCTCAGATAATTCATTCCAATTTCCTCCATCATCATTTGGCTGTTGACATCTGCTTGGAGGAAGCCTTCTGCCATCCAAAGTTCGATAAGCATATTCCTTTCTACCCCAGTATCCTTGGGAAATGTAGAACAATATGCAAAACATTTCTTAATGGATGGAGATGGTAAACAATCAAAACTCAAGTTAAGTATTTCCATGACACCATCTTCATCTCCACTCAAAATTGAAAGCTTATTCTTCAAAATCAATTGCCACTCCTCTTTTCCCTTCATGCGCAATAAACCTCCCATTACACTTGCAGCTAGTGGTAGACCACAACATTTTTTTATAATTTCCTTTTTCATGACATGCAATTGTTCGGGAATTTCTCCATCTGCAATGGCTTTCTCTGTTAGGATAGACCAACAATCGTCTTCAGATAGCTTTCCTAGCACACAAGAATCATGTGTGGCCACAATGGATGCAATTTGTTGTTTACGAGTAGTCACAATACACCAATTTCCATTAGTTGCATTCAACCCCAGTAACGAATGTAAAAAATCATCCTACAAGATATGGCTTTCGGTCCAGACATCATCAAGAACAAGACGATATTTTTTTTCCCATAAGTTTTTTTTGAATTTTCTTGACGATGACATCCCTACTGGTCATTTCAACATTTCTTCTCTTGAGTGATTCTAAAATCATTTTGAAAAGCCTGGTCACTTCAAAATCGTTGGACACACAAATCCAAATTTTTTTCTCAAAATGGCTATCAACTTGATGATTGTTGTAAACAGATTGAGCTAAAGTTGTCTTTCCCAATCCACCCATCCCAAGGATGGGAATTACAGAAACTGCTTTTTCTGACAAGCTTAGCAAGGTCTCGACTAGACTTGTTTCATCCTTAGCTCTTCCTACAACATTATGGCCAACAACAGTAGTAGATGGGGGGAATGTTTTCCCCTGATTTCTGACCAGCCGAAAATCACTGGCCTCTTTATTGATCTTATTCAACTTCTTGTTGATGTCCCTAATCTTACAGGCCATTCTCCATCGGAAAACAATATTAATGTCAGAGGACAGGATGAAGGAGCGTACCTTGTCCACGAGTTGGCAACGAAGAACTTCATAATTCAGCTCGTCCAACAAATTCTCAGCATCAAACGCCACGCCTTCCAGCCTCCGAAGCCACAGTTGCACGGCCTGGTTATACGTTTGCTTTTTTTCCGCATCAGAAAAGACAGCTTGGATCATGGCAACAGATTCTCTCAGGGTCTCCAAATCCTCCTCCAATTGGAATAACTTGCCAATTCTTTCATTGGCAAGGGAAAGTGTCATCTCCAATGCTACCTCTATTGTGGAAGAAAAAAGTGCATTAGCCATTCTTTTTGTTCCTTGGGTATAGTCTTCAGATCAGAATACTCTTTTTGCAGTGGAAGGTTTTAGCTGCAGCTAGAAGCAGCAAGGAACTGCTCTTAAACTGCAGTGACAAGAGTTATGAGGATTTTTTGGTGCAGTGCTCCTTTGACAAACAGGGTCGGATGCTTTTGCAACGGAAGTTGCTTGGCAATTGTCAGTTGAAAATATAGTCGTTGCTGGGATTCTGCATCTGTTTTTGATCCACATTCCACATGCTTGGGCCCCCTGGCCGATTAAAATTGCACCCAAGAACGACAAGAAAGTGAGCTGAATAATGAAAGGTCCAAAATAATTTTTTTATAAATAAATATAAAAGAAAATGACAATCATAATTGAGACTCTGACAAATCTCACTAGTTGATCCTTGGGACCTCAACATAGTATTAAATGACATCTAAATTGCTGATCTTTGGGGTTCAGATTTAACATACATGTAAGTACACCTTATTTTGTTGGCTTTCTGCAAGGGGTTTTGCTAACACCGTGGCTTAAAATCCTTGAATTTATGTACCATCCAGAGACCTCAAAGTCCTCCATTTCCATGCTAGCTATTTTCCCCTTTAGCTAATTCAGAATAGAAACTTTATATTATAGTGGTGTGGAAGTGCTGCAGCTGTACATGTTTGAGAAACTTGAATGCCATTAATTGCTGTAGAAGTTTGGCTGTCAATTTCACTGGGCCTTATTAATCAATGCTTAGCTGATATTTTCATCTGTTTCTGATTGAAGGATGCTAGCCGGGGCCATCGGTTGTGGAAAATATCTCAAATGGCTATATATATATATAATAACGATCAAAAAAAATGTAAAGGAGAAGGGAAATGACAATCACAGTCGTGGGGGAATAAAAGAACTGAAAAAATAATGGCTGGTTTAGTTATGAAAAGTATGAAATCGAAGAGTATAATATGCAAAATAGTCCCTTGTATTTCCAAAAGTTTTCTAGCACTTTGAACTTACAAAGAAGGAATTAAGAACTCACATTTTGATGCAAAATGTCCTCTTTATGTCCCATATGCAAAATTTAAGAGGTGAAAAATTGAGAAGTTTCTTGATTACCTTATTATTATTTTTATTTTTATAGAGTATAATATGCAATCAATTGGAGTTGGCGGTGAAATACACCTTTATCTTACGCTATATTCGTACACTTTTGCTGAATTTGATATTTTGAAAGGACGAAATGAGCATGTTGTTGTTGATTTTGAATCTTATCCTTGAATTATTTGCCTGTGATAATGAGCACAAGTTTTGCTTAAATGGAATTCTGACCATTCACATATGATGATTTGTCTATTCGGGCGAAGTAGAGCTTGACTAGTATTCAGGCCCGATTCCCAGTTTCGGTAGTGTTTGAGTTCTAGACGAATTGACGTCCGCAAAATTTAGGAGTCAGATCCAATTCCAAATTGGTTCTTAAAATTTCAGTTTAAAAAAAAGGGTCAATTGTAATTTGTAACTTGCACCCCTCAACTATTTAGCAATCAGCCTTTGCATCCCAAACTTTCAATTTCAGTAATCAAACTTCTAATTTTGGGCAATCCACTAAATTTGACAAGTAAAACAAGACCATTTCGCATACTTGCTTTTCTTCTATCCCAAATTAGCCTCCTTTTTTAATCCACATAATAAATCCATAAACTTTGCATAAATAATAAGCTGCCGGAAAAAAATGTTGTCTTGAAAAAATAGGGCAATCCGGGTCAAGATCCCCATCATCGTGCACTCATACATCTCTTTTCCAATGACAGTAGCAAAACCAATCCCGGAGAAGACACAATAATACAGCCATCACTCCCTTATTCCCTCTCTTTTGTGCTTACAGCTTCTTGTTCCAGAGAAGAGTTTCATAGCCTCAATGTTAAGAATTAGAAAGAGTATGACGTCAATTTGTTTTAGACCAAAAAAATTGAGGTTGGAGGAGTTTAAATCAGGATATGTTGTTGGCTGGTTGAAATTGAAAAAGAAATGGTTTTGGTGAAAAAAAGTTGTTTTGTTTTTATAGTAGGAAGAGACAGTGTCGGTGGGTCTTAGAGATTCGAAATTAAGAGGTTATGGCAGTAGCAGTGGTATTGCTATTTTGAACAGATTTGGATGTGAGATTTTTTTTATTTGTTTTCTTGTCTCCTAAAGACTTATGCTCTTTCATTTCTTTGTATTTTATTACCTTTCTATTAATGAGCTTTAAAAAGATTTCTATGTTACCTTACAATTATTTTTTTAGATTTTTTAAAAATGAAAGAAAATTATATAAAATTAAATAAAATCAGTGAAAAATCACAAAAAAATTTAAAATATATTAGAGTCTCTCTTTCAATAAAAGGAAAGATATTGATCTTTATTTGATCAAAAGTGATCATCTTACACTTATTTACACTCTTTAGAAGTATTAAAAATTTTCGTGACTTTTCTATTAATTTTATATGATATTTATAGAATTTATGTACTTTATATCATATTTGTAAATTTTCTTAGATTTTATAAAACATTTTGGACTAATTTGGTCAATTAGCATACTTTAAGTATTATACTTGTTCAGATTGAAATATTAAGGACCAAATTGGTCAACAAACTTTAAATGTCCATTTTTCCTATCAATTTCCTTACCACAATGAAGGATTAGCTACGATGTTTCTACATTACAATCATGCAATTCCAGAATAATCCATATGTAAGAATTTAAATTCTTGATAGGAAATTGAAGGAGTTTACAATTTTGCACTTCATGTAGAATGATTGCCTGCACTTTGATATTTGTGTCGATCATCTGCTTCTCTCATGTCCAACTCAAGTGCATCATGCTTTTACGGGCTTGGATCCAAATTTTTAAAAACTGAACTCTATTCAGATCCATATTGTGTAAATGAATTATTAATTTGGGTAAGATCTTGTTTTGCATAATCTAGCTCAAATCCAAATCTAAACCCAAGCCCCAACTAGACTAACACATACTTAACTAGTAATTAATGGATCAACTGTAACGTTTTAAACATATTTTTCTTTCTAAAGTAGCTTGAAACTAGACTTTTTTTAAATAATATTTTTCCTAAATGATTTTTAGTGGTTAACCAAGATTTGGATTATATAATAATCTATAGTCTCACTAAAAATTGAGAACAAGTGGAGAAGCTTTAAATACATGCAAACTAGATACGGGATGTAGATGAAATTTTTTAAGAAAATAGAATTTGTTAATGTAGTTTTATGATTTTAGTTCTTAATTCTTATACACAACATTCTTCAATGTTGATTTTGTTATTTCTAAATGAGGTTTGAATTATATTTGTGCCTGTTCCCAACTAACTTTGAAAATCTAATTTTGGCATTTGATTTTCAAAAAGCAATTTTATTATGTTTTCAACTGATTTTGATAACCCGATTTTAGATTTCTTTTTGGTCCAAAAAAAAGCTAAAAGTTAGAAAGATATCTTGAGCTGTTTTTAGATTTTGATTGTAACGTACTTTTTATAAATAATTTATAAAAAATTATAGCTTTTTTATAAAGGTCCAAAATAATTTTTTATAAAGAGAAAAAATGACAATGATAATTGAGACACTGACAAATCTCACTAGTTGATCCTTGGGACATAAACATAGCATTAAATTTCATCTAAATTTCATCTAAATTGCTGATCTTTGGGGTTCATATTTAACATATATGCAAGTACACCTTATTTCGTTGGCTTTCTGCAAGGGTTTATGCTAACATTGTGGCTTAAAATCCTTGAATGCCATTAATTGCAATAGAAGTTCGGTTGGCAATTTCACTGGGCCTTATTAATCAATGCTTAGCTGATATTTTCATCTGTTTCTGATTTAAGGATGCTAGCTGCGGCCTTCGGTTGTGGAAAACATCTCAAATGGCTATATATATATATATATATAAAATAACGATCAAAAAATTGTGAAGGAGAAGGGAAATGACAATCACAGTTGTGGGAGAAAAAAAACTGAAAAATAATGGCAGGTTCAAATATGAAAAAT